AATCTGAGTGAGTCGAGAGTGTAGATGTAGGTGATCAACTCTGGTCAGGAGCTGTAGATGAGAAACATTGATGGGTATATGAGTTCTTATCCGTACATGCACAATCTGTAATGAAGTAGTGCATCTAATTTCTATTTAATGTGCTCCAATCCACTAAGGAGTGCATCTGTATCTTGCCCTGCTGGCAGGAATTTATGTCACTGCACATATCTGTTACCATTCATGCATGTCAAATTGTTAACACAGTCAAGTGGACCCCAGAAAGGTTATGAGTAAGTAAACCTAACTCAGAGAGACCAATGTTTTTTTAATAAATCTACAGTGAATTGAACTTGATAGTGGGTTTGAAAATGTCTTCATGGAATTATTTGTCAGCAGTTGCCTGTCTCCTTTGCATTATTGTGACATTTCATATTTTGTTTTTCTATAGTTTAAAGAAAGACAAAGAGCGACAGAAGCAGCTGGCTCGGGAGCGAATCACCAACCTGCGCAAGAAGAAAGCTGCAGCCCAATCAGTTCAAGATACAACTCCAGCTACCTTTTCTACCCCTGTTACCACCACCACAGGGGTATTGAGTCAGGAGGACTTGGTAAAGAAGCTAAGACAAGAAGAGGAGGAGAATGCTAAGGTGGATGCTGTGATCTCCACACAAAAAGATGGTCAGTCAAATCCAATTTTACTGTCATGGTCATTGTAAACTCATCTGTTGTAATGTCACTGTATAATTCAGCAAGTGTATTGAAAAACTAATGTTTATTTTAGTGTTTTTTGGGATGTGCGTTTGTTACTGCTTATATCTGCTGGTCAGGGGTTAGAATCGAACAGCTGGCTATGCATTGTGCCCCTGGGAGAGTCAGTTTACCCTGATATGCTTCTGTCTACCTGTTAACGTGAGTAGGCACCTGTGAGGGCTCAGTGGGTGTTATTACTGGAAATTTCCACCTGAAGTTACTGCATCGAGCTTCCTACTCTTGAAAGAGTTGGAAGGTTTTAGGAATGTTTATGGGCTCATTGGGGGGGGGGAT